GAGAGGTAGGTTGGAGTCGTCCTTGGTGGCCCGTCCACAGAGCAAGATTATGGTCAATCGCAATTCTCAGGGACGTAGATATACGAAGTTACTCATCGACCTTCTCCGATGATTCAGTGCGTTCTCCAACGGGCCGGTATCGGGATGGATGAATGATGTGACGGAGATGATGAGAGGTGGGCTGGGAGGAGTGTAGGGGGGAGAGAAGAGAGGAGGAGGAGAGACGGACAGCCAGAGGACTGGAGGGGTGGAGGTAGGCGCTTTTGTGTGTGATTGGAGGGATATGAAGTGGAGGTTGACGTGGCGAAAGATGGTGTTCACTAGGGGTGGTGGTCCCCACCGGTAGCGCGCAGCTATGCATTATTGATAGTCCATGTTCACTGTGTGTGAGGAGCAAAGGGGAGCGGCCCAGCGAGTAGGCGGAGAAGGGTTTTTGCGATCCTGACAGCCTCAGCTTCGACAGCTGCTAGTCACGGTACCCTGCAGGCGGCAAGCAATCTCTTCCCCCTGGCAAGGAGGAAGGTGAAGGATTAGCCGAAGGCGAAAAAAGATCTTCCTCCTTCCCCCTGGCAAGGAGGAAGAAAGGCATAAATCAACGCCTCGGGAGCGAGAGATTGCCGTGTGCAGCAGCAGCAGGGGTGATCGGACAACAACAAGACGCGAGAGGAGGGGGCGGGGGGGGGCACGGAAGAGAGAGGAGAAGAAGTCGCTCTGGGGAGGGCACGGATATTTCGCGCGCTTTCCCGCGCTTATCATTCCTTGGCCTACTCTATGAACATGCGCCGTATTCACGACATACTTGCCAGCAGGACTACAATCCAGCATGGGTCGGAGAGTCATCCCATCTGGTTATTAGGAGTATGTTACCAAGGACCCGCGGCGGACAACGATAGCCTCCATGCGGAGATCACGGATCGCTTTCTCAAAGATTTCAGCTCCAGATTATGGATAACCTACAGGAGAGGTGAGTACTTCTTTCGTCTTCTTCTTCCATTCTCTCTCTCTCTCTTTTCTTGGTCAACTCCGTTTCTTAGCCTTTCGATCTACATCTGCACGGTGTGGAACTCTGCAGAAGGAATGGTCAAAGATTTCTAACGGAATGGTGGTGCCCTCCTAGAATGTGGACACGTAATCGTTTTCACTTTGTCCTTATTCCGTGGCCATCTGGACGATCGAGTGTTTTTTTTATTATTTATTATTATTATTATTATTATTATTATTTTATTTTATTTTATTTTAAAGCCAACTTTGCAATTCATTAGAAAAACAAGAAGGGGGAGGAAAAAAAAAGGAAAAAAAAAAGAAGGGGGATGCCGGGAATCCCTCCACAAACAACCCGGAATTTGGTAACCTCTGGGACCATTGCCCAGTTTATGGTGCAGGCGTTGGGAATTTAATTTTAATGTGGTCCGATGGACCAGGGATTATCAGATATTAAACTGATCAGAACAGATACTACACTTGTTGATCTATTTTTAGCCAAAAGGCCGAGGAAGGTATAAAACGACAATTGAGTGTTTTTTTTTTTTTTTTTTTCCAACTAAAACAGATCATTCCATAACAATATAAGAGTGAGGCCTTGGACCTCACAATTCAACCCGGAGTACTGACAGCATCAGCCAGCTTAGCTTACAGGTACAATGGAGGTTTAGTATCACTACCGAATGGGTTCTCCTTGCGTGGTGGTAGGTGCACTGAAATGTGTGTCAGTCAGGTCAATCGTGTCAGTTTTGCAGAATTCCGCTTTTGCCCTTCTTCTTCGGGTTGTGTTCATTTTAGGACCATTGCCCAGCTTAGGTGCAGGCGTTGGGAAACATCTATTCAGTGTGTTTAGCAGTTATTTGTTCAGAAAGGGGCATTTTTCATAAGCGAAAATGGCTAAGGGCGTCGCCGCACGGCCCACAAAACGAAAAACGAAACGAATGCATCTTCCGGCAGAAAATGGCCAGATTCGTCGGTTTGCTATAAATAGTAACGAGTGTATTTTTCCACCTTTCGTGGGCAGATGCACTCGTTTCGTTTTCGCTTGGTGTGCCGTGTGGCGAGGCCCTAATGCACACCCTAATGCTGCTAGCATGACCAATTGTTTTTTTTCTTTTTTTTCTTTTTTTAACTCGAACTCTTTGTATTGCTTGAAATCAATTCGGGGTCGGAGATCCCCACAATTCAACCCGGAAAATTACTGGCAGCCTCAGCCAGTTTAGCTTACGCTTCAGAGGGAGAGTCCTTAACTAGGAGCAGATCCGGTCCCAAGGACCTCTGTCCTGCAGTCTCCTCTCTGAGCAACATGAAGAAACATACCTTCAAGGCCCATAAAAACCACACAAGCCAATAAACCCAGCCAACCAGATACTAACATGTCCTCCCCCACTTCTAACCTTGCTTCAACTATACCTGCCTCCCCCTACTACTCCTATTGCACACTCTACCTCTATCTGCCTATACTGTCTATCTACAGTGATAGCCTTCGCATTCCTATTGTAGCTGACCACCTAACTAGGTGGGTGTGAAGTGAGACACTCCCTCCTCCTTCAGATCCCACTGCCTGTCTCCTGCGACCCCCTAAGACCTCGTATCCAAGTGTCCAGGATCCTTCTCCTTTCGTTCACAGATCTCTGTAGAACCACTGGTCCAATCCTATCTCCTGTGATCTTCGCCATACGCCCATTCCAGCACCATGCCTCCTTGAACCAGATTAAGCCAGCCTCCCAATTTCTTGTCTTACTTACTTTCCTCCGCCAGTCCGCCATTATTGATCTCTGTAGCAGCTTCACAAAGGTTCTCCGTGTTTGTTTATTTGTCCATTCTGTACCATTGGATACTCTGTCGTTCCTTTCTTGCCAGATTCCTGTGAAGCCTACTGCCCTCGCCACTTGTGCGACGTATCCCCATCCGTTTACCATACTGTTGCCTTCGTGTACCTCCTCCCCCCCCCCCCCAAGAGGCACCATTCTGTCGTCCGCGAGAAAGCTCCTTCCGTACATCTTTCCCAATACCGCTTCCACCAGACCCAAATCCTGCTTGAAGCAGGGCAGTCCCACCATAGGTGGACTGTGGACTCGAAAGCCCACTCACATCTCACACATTTTAAATCCAACTTCATCCCGTGTTGTGCCAACCAGACTGCAGAGGGCGTTACAACCAGCGACACCAACCACAGTATAGAGGCCTGTCGTTGACAAGGAATCAATTTCAACTGTTCCCAGCATTTTTTAAGAGCCCTTCCAATCAACTCCGGATCCAATGGGAGCAATTGTGCCCATCTTGCTCTTGCGACAACTTCTGGGTGCTTTGTAGGGATTATGTACTTATAACCAACCTTCTGAGAATAGTTGAACAAACATATGTTCTCGCCCCTCCTACCCAAAGCCCTCCATTCCCATGCCTTCGGGTCCAGTTTCAGTTTAGAAAGTGGTTTCCCATTGGCTATAAGTACCATCTCCTGCCTCCTCCCTTCTTGCTCCGTTGTTATCACACGTACTTGAGACAGTGCGCCGCCCAGCCTGGGCTGGGTGTCTCCTTCTGCTAAACTCAACCATCTCCTGCCTCCTCCCTTCTTGATCCGTTGTTATCACACGTACTTGAGACAGTGCGCCGCCCAGCCTGGGCTGGGTGCTGTCTCTTATACACATCTAGATGTGTATAAGAGACAGGAGAGAGAGAGAGAGAGAGAGAGAGAGAGAGAGAGAGAGAGAGAGAGAGGGGGGGGGGGGGGGGGGGGGGGAAAAAAAAACAAGGAGAGGGGGGGGGGGGGGGGGGGGGGGGGGGGGGGGGGGGGGGGAAGGGGATACAGACACAGAGTGAGAGAGAGAGAAGGGGTGGGGGAGGGGAAGGGAGGCAGCGAGAAGGACAGACACACATAGACAGAGACACACACACACACACACACACACACCTACACAGAGAGAGAGAGAGAGAGAGAGAGAGAGAGAGAGAGAGAGAGAGAGAGAGAGAGAGAGGGGATGATCGAGTTTTCCACTTTAAGGTTGCCTTCTGATGTTTTATTGAAAGAGCCAAGAAAGGAGCACATCAAACATGCATGGACGATTGAACAAGCAAAGCGAGAGCGCTTTGTTTTACTACCGCCGAGCCTGTTTTTACCGACCCTGATTTTCACTGTGCACCAAGTTTTGCTGAGGGTCCGTTTTGTTTCTTTTCTGGTACCCTTCTGAAAAAAGGGAAAAAAAAAAAACACGGCCAGACTTTTTTTTCTTTTTTTTTTTGGAGCAACCACCAAAAAAAATAGGAAAAAAAGAACAAACACCACTGTGGACTTTATACCAGGTAGATACCGACCCCAAAGTTGTGTGAGTATGCCCTGAGTGAGGGCGTTACAGCACGGGGTGTCACGTCCACGGAAGACGAAAAAAGCAAAAACTTTTTTTTTTTTTTTTTTTTTTTTGCCGGAGAAAAACATATTGAAACTGAACGTAGGACGGGAAAGCAAATTCAAATTCAAATTCAAATTCATACATTCTGCATGCCCTCCTCCACGAAGTGTCGGCAGTCCACAGTCAGCATCCAGTCAGCAGCCTGTGGACTGCCGCGTGCCTCCCTGACAGGTCACCAAAAAAAACAAAACAAAGAAAACAAAAACACCAGCAACGAAAACCTGAAACAGGTCACAAACCCAAGAGCCTAGCTCAGTGGGTACACCATTGAACTGTTGAAATACAGACCAGGTGCTGTGTTCGAATCCAGATGATGGAACTTGATGAGTAAAACCAACCACGAATAAATTGCCTGGTTATCTCAAGACCGTCACCCTTAAAAAAAAAAAAAAAAAAAAAAAAAAAGAAACAGGTCACAATCCTCCTTAGATACTTCATTGTCGTCACTTCCTTCGTGCACGCCCTTCCCCGACGTGGTCTTCTGTTTTTCTTTTTGTTTTTCTTTTTCTTCTTCTTTTTCTTTTTTCTTTTTTTTTTCTTTTTTTTTTGTGTGTGTGTGTGTGTTCGGAGTTTTTCATCCGCTAATTACAAATTTCTAGACATTTATCTCTCTCTGAGATGTATTTGTTCTTCTTTTTCTTCTTCTTTTTGTTCTTTTTGTTTTTCGAACGGGCGCACAAGTCCCAACTGCTGGGCCCAACTGCCGACCCTCCGCATACTCCCGCAAAGTTCCGAAAAAGTGTGAACACTGCAAGTTCTCACAGTTTTCTCAAGAGTGAGAGACGTAGTGGGGGTTTACAATAGACCCTTTAAATCTACAGCTAATTCTACCATTGGCAGAGGAGCAGGAGCCTTAAGAACCCACCGTTAAATTCATCCATCGGGCCGTTAAATCTATGAAAAATGGTAGAATTAATTGTAGATTTAAGGGCGGAGCTTAAAAAATGGACCCCGCGTTCGAAAAACCGAGAAGAACACCGACTCCCCGGGAGCAGCCCAAAAAACAGCACCAAAAAGAGGACAGAAAAAAAAAGGAAAAAAGAAGAGAAAACAAGGAGAAAAAGAGGAGGGGAGAAATCATCAGGGCATTCGCAAGGCCATGTCATGGGATCGTAGAAACAGACCCCCTCGTTCGAATAGTCCATCAGAACGATGTCCTATGATGTCAGACTCAGACATCTTCAGAGGGAACGAAAGAAAGGAGAAAGACGAGGAGGAGGACGACGACGATGACAAGGAAAAACTATACTTCTCCCACTCGTATGGTCGCATGTATATGCTCCATTTTTCAGTGGAAAAGAACGAAGAAGAAGAAGAAGAAGAAGAAGAAGAAGAAGAAGAAGAAGAAGAAGAAGAAGAAGAAGACCTGAATTGAGAATAGAGAGGCCAATCGCGAGCTCTCGGAGTGATGCAACAATGTCTTCATCACACATGCTTGCACGTGAGAGGAGGAGGAGGAAGAAGAAGGGAGATCATAATTCTCAAAATTTTATGGTCGCATATGACTGTAGAAAGAGAAGAAGAAGACGAAGAAGACGAAGAAGAAGGGCAAAAGGGCTAAGCAAGGAGGCGGTGGAGTGAACGGAAGAGGAATAGTAAAGTGAAGGTGTGTAGGAAGGAGGAGACGGAGGAAAGACTCTGAGGAGGAATAGTAATGAAATACTAACAAATGTGCTAAACGAACAAACAAAGCATATCCGAACAAACTTGCTGTTGTCTAGTTGATGGTCTTCGTCATCTGATGATGGGGACCACCTCCGATGACGAGAGGTTCCGATGCATAAACCCGAAATCTCTGATGATCTGGTTGTCGGCGAAGTTGAAAGCTCGGTCGTGCTGACGCTGGCACTCGTCAAAATCCACAGAGAACTTCATGTAGCAAAGCGCGCATCCGCAGAAGTGCATGATGAAAGGTGGTTGGTTTCCATCGTTCCGCCACGTTTCACGCTGCTCCATGTACTTGTCCAGATTATCCGCCTCGTCCTTCCAGTATCGGTTGATGTGGTACCTCTCTTCGAGATAGACACGTGGCAGCCATCGATCCTTCTGTGTCATGAGCATGTAGATGGCGCTCCCTTGATCGCAGAGATAAGGTGGCATCTCCGGCAGAACCTTCTTCACCTTCAAATAGACCTCCGTCTGATTAGGATGGCTATCCCATAGATCAACCATGGTATCGAAAAACTCCCGAGAGATGTCGTCGTTCCGCACGAACATGACCCCTGTGTTAAGCGATCTGGTATAATGCGGGTCGAAATCGAGACTCGGTCCGTCGCCCCACATAACCAGGCTGTAGCCATTGTACTCCTGCCACGGAATTCGAAAGTCCATGTCGAGAATCATAGTGTCGGAATCGATCCAGATGAACCAATCGTAGCTAGGCTGAGAGCGCATCAGGTGACGGAGAAGAAGGACCTTGTTGCGGAATCGATGGTTGCCTCCCTCGACAAGCAACTCCAGAGAGAACCATGTGTCCATCCCTGCGCGCCGAGCGTAATCAGCCTTGTTCTTCAACGACTTCATGATGTCGTTATCACCAAGACGCGTTCCACACAACGCCTGGCTTGCGGAGACCATCAGAACCTTGGGAGTCTTCGAACGAGCAAGGTTGCGTCGCCAACTTGGGGAGACCGACGAAAGGCTTTGCTCCGACCATCGAGAGGGAGTGACGACGGAGGAGGCGTCGTCACCAGAAAGAACGTGGAAGCAGAGAAGATGAACCCCAGCCGATCCAGCGACTACCACCAGCATGATGCGCAGCATACCGCAAACTTCCTTCCATGACCCTGGCCTCTTCGTCCTCTCCGACCCTGCCGGCCCCCCTCCGTACATTGCTTACACTATCCTTCGGCCCCCCTCTCCGACGCTGCTTCGTCGGCGTTCCACCGACTGATCACACGATTACCAKTGTGTGTGTGTCTGTGTATCGTCGATCAGCAGCGCTCGCCCTCCTTCGCTACGCTGYCCTATGCTGCCATATTCCATTCGCTACACTCCCTCGTTACGCTGTCCAACCATGAGAACAACCACATAGCTTTCCTTCTCTCAGCCTTCTCTACATTGCTCACTAAATTACCTCCCGTCACCATCTCCATGTGTGTGTATGTGCGTCTGTCTGTAGGCGTATGTGTCTGTGTCTGCGACAGCGCAGGTGTAGGATGGTGCGTGCATGCGCGATGGACGGACGTGTGCATGCGCTCCTGTCAATGAGAAAGGGCAAGACCATGAGCATGGTTGGTGCTTGGGAGACGGCGTTGGGATCGGCGTCCGTTTTCGGAGGCCGGCCAGCAGACCTTTTACCACTCGCAAAGGATGCTACTTTCCAGGCCCTCCTCTTTACGGGGGCTAGGTCCCACTTACACGAATTAAGCGATACTGACCGTAGATAGCAAAGATCGACGGCCAGATTCTGGTAATCCGTGAAAGTGGGACCTTGCCCCGGGACCTGCTCACATCAGTCATAATAAGGACGTTCGGTGGTCGTTTCACAGCAAAAGGGCCTCGCCACCTGGCGGCCAAAACAAAACCAAACGAAAAAAAATTCCCTCGGTGTTGGCGGTCGTTTCTGCTGCATCTCGATTTATGCGTGTCATCCTTGCGCAGGGGCGCCACACAGATCTGCCGTATCGCCACACGGATCGCGCGAAACGATAGCCAGCGACAATACTCCGCCTCGACACACTCGCGAAAGGGTTCGCGAGTTGGCGGGCAGTCCTTGGGGACATCCGTTAAAAGATTGGGAGGATACAGGGCCTCGGCACACCACTCTCGAGATCTGAAATCGACAAAAAATGTGGCGGGTGCATCTGGCCATGTGCTAGGGCTAAGATCGTTCTCATTTCGCACATTTCGAGAGTGGTGTGGCGATGCTTCGCACATTTCGAGAGTGGTACGGCGATGCCCGCAGAGAAAGAAGATTAGCATGGCCCCCTTCGCAAGCATGACACGCATAAATCGAGAAATGGTCAAAAAAAAAAGAAAAAAGAAAAAAAAAGAGAGAGCTGGCGGGCAAGCAACCTCCTCGGGAAGCACGATCTCCTCCTCTTTCTGTGGTTCCTTGCAAGGGCCCACGAAAATAGAGGTGCTGCAGGCGGGCGGCAGCAACCTCCTCGGGAAGCACGATCTCCTCCTCTTTCTGTGGAGAGCATCTGACACCTCGCGCCTCTTTTTCACTGCTGTAATTCGTGAGGGCCGTGTGGCGGTGTGAAAACGAAACCCTATGGGACCGACGGGAAAGCTTCCGCCGGCGCTGTGGGCTCGGACCAAGAGTTTTTGCACCTACGTTACCGGTAATGGCGGAGTGTCTAGCTGGGGGGCATACCATCGCGATATGCCCGAGGTAGTGCCGAGGCGCCGTCACCTGTCACCTGTGAGAGAGGTCATAGCTAGGGCTTCTGCCTACGATGGCTGCCCGGGGGCTAGGTCCCACTTGCACGAATTATGCCATGTCGACCGTCGATAGGGAAGATCAACGGCCGCAATCTCCTAATCCGTGCAAGTGGGACCTTGCCCTGGGTAGTCACCTGGAAGGTCCCACTACTAGCGAGTTGACACAGGGACATAATGGTCATGATAACCACTACTTATATTATCATTAGATTACTTCGGCTCATAGAGTAAACAGGTGTGGTAGATTGCCCATTTCATCACTTACTAAGGGCCCCTCCTTGGAAAACCGCAAAATCAGAAATCGGCGCCGTTACACCGCATCCGCCGAATCCCTTGAACGAATGTGAAAATGCTCCCAAGAGATTTCATTGGGTTCCTCGTCCGTGGCCCATTGGGTGGACATCGCCAGCCTCCAGTACCCGACGGGCCGCCAACGGCCTTTAGACCGTTACCGTTGGTGCTCGGGCGTGGGGCCGGATCTTCAGCTGCGAGGCGCTCCGTGGAGCGGGGTTTTGCGTGCGTGTGACACCCAACCTCACGCCCGGCGCGACTTCCTGATCGGAGTGGGATGTAGGCCTGGAAGTGCGAAAAGGGGTGTGCCAAGGATTTTTGGCAAAAGTGGGGGTGGAGTCCCAGGTCAGAACTGAGATCTCCTGGGGCGGGTTTTCAGGGTCATAGGCGCAATAGGGCTCAGGGACAGGTTATCTCCGGTCTGGTGGCGGTTGGCGTCGCGCAGCATAAGGCAGATGGTATGCGCGGTGTAACTGGGACCGTCCGATCCGCCTCTTTTAGTGAAGGGCAAACGATGGCCCTGTGTCCTAGTTTTCTGGTTTATGCAGTATATGGGAATGTTTCTTGGTTAGGAAGGGGACTAAATTCAGGTTCTCTGAGAAGTAGCCCATTCCTTTTTTCGAGGAACAGCGTCTCCCATGTTGCGGGAAACCGGGTACATACAAATGTTTTTGAATGACCCTGGGTAAGAAGGATGGCCAGATCCAGTTTGTTTTAGTAATGTTTGGTAGGACAGGGCTCGGTACTCTCCTGGTGCACCAAGAGGTGTACCGCGCCCATAAAAAATTAGATAAAATGGAGTACGAGCGGGCACGCTCATTCAGACTGAGCAGTACGTAAGGTTGAAGGTCTGGAGCATGGGAGATCCATGCCGAGTTCAATGTGGTTGTACTGTGATATTAATCCTCAAGCTACATTGATCTTTTTTCAAGTCTAACCCTGCGTTAGCGTAGCGCAAAGACCGGGGCCCGAAACGGCATGGTAACTTTGCGCCGCCCGGCCCGGCGCAAAGTTACCGTGCCGTTCCGGGCCCCGGTCGACTTTCTCTCGCGGTAACTCCGGGAGAGAGAGAAGGTGGGATCTTCCTCACCATAGCTGGTCTGGGTGAGTGCCTACGGTGAAAAACCGAAGGATAGGATAGCACCCGTTTACCCCAACATCCTCCCAAGCTATTCCGAAACTTTTCACTTTCTGCCGGACGAGGATGAGGCGTTTAGCCAGAGTTACTCAGGCGCTCTTTTTTTTTTTTTTTTTTTTTTAAAGTCACTTAACGAGGTGATAAGAGCAGCCCCGTTAAGTGGGTCCCGATGTTGAAGGCTCCGTCTATTGGTGGGGAGCTACACCTGCTGGAAATCGGGTCCATTGTCCCTGTACAATACCATGTGTCAGCTGGAAATTGGGTCCAGCGTCCCTTATACAATTATGTGAAATGTTCGTTAAGTTTGAGTATCCCCCATAGAGCAAAATGCATTGATTACTTCCCAGGAGAAGGGAAGGAAAAAGGACTGACCTCCTGCGTACATGACGAAAACCGAAGTAAAAAAACATCTCCATCAAACACGCCAACAGCCAAAACACACCCATGCCCGAAACCCTAAACAACCTACCCCTACACCTCATCATGATTGGGGATTGAGGGCCGGACAACCCCAATCAATGGAGGGTCGTCATTTATCCCACTCCCACCCGCTGTGAAGTGAAGATAAGTGGATCAACAGGCAGAGACACCACGCACAGTGGGGGGAAGGTAGTAGTAATAGGCATTGTTGTTGTTGTTGTTGCCGCCATTGTCGTCATCTCTGCCGTTGTTTTTGTTGTTGTTGTCGTTGTTGTTGTTGTTGATGTTGTTGTTGTTGTCGCTCTCGTTGTTGTCGTCGTCGTTGTTGTTTGTGGTTGTGTTGTTGCCACTATTGTCATTGCCGTCGCCAACACCGCAGGCGAGACGATCAATTATGTCATTTTTGTGAAGAGTATTCAATTTGGCGTTGTTGTTTGTGGTCGTGCTGTTGCCACTATTGTCATTGCCGTCGCCAACACTGCAGGTGAGGCGATCGATGATGTCGTTTTTGTGAAGAGTATTGGCGTTGTCACCTTCGTTGTCTTCGCAGCCACCGATATCACTGGTGTCGATGTTGTTGTCGCTGTTGTTGTTGTTGTTGCTGTTGTTGTTGTTGTTGTTGCTGTTGTTGTTGTTGCTGTTGTTGTTGATCTTGATGTTAACGTTGTTAGCTCTGTTGCCACATGCGCCTCCTCACCATCAATATCACCCTCCAGCCCCTCCTCCAAAAGAGCACACAGATCGCGACCCTCATTGAAGAGGGTTTTGCAGATAGACATGATGCCATCATCCCTCCTCCAATCGATGCAGACGTCGAGCCGGGGATCTGGCCCCACCTCCAGCTCCCAGATGATCTCCAGCATGTCCTCACTTTTATCCTTCAGCCAACCAGCCAGAGAAATCGCTCCCCCTTCGACCTTTGGCTCCACTTGCAGCTGCAAAGACATGTCCCTCACAATCTCTTGTTTCGGTGACCATCTGGATCCTTTCTCCAAGGTAATCAGCCATTCGTTCGCTCCAAGATGTAGCTCCCTCTCCAAAAGCTCCTCCATGGTAGCCATGGCTCGCTCAAAGAACTGCGCCGCTTTTGTACAGTAACCTCCAATCAATCACGACTGACGCTTCCCCTATTCACGGGTCACGGGGCGTCCGCACCACCAAACGACAGGTGGCACGTGGCAAGCTGAAAGCCACGACCACGTGTCGGGCGTGTGCACAGGCCCAACGGCCTGGGGGGGCTCACCTCTCCAGGACGCCGGTCAAGCCAGGTGCAGCCGGGCCTCGCCGGTCGACCGACGTTAGGGCGCTAGTGCTAGCGCAGTCCTTTCCATTCAAGCCTCCAACGCGGTAACATTCGCCAGAGCTACGAAAGTAACCAAGATGACGATTCATGCAGGAAAAGGTATCGTCCCCACTACACTGGTCTGATTGTGGGTGTGGTTGAAGACTGAACATTCGTGTCCCAGTTTTGTCGATGCCTTGATTTCCCACTTGGTCTTAGGTTAATGGTTCTCTACTTAGGATCGTATCTATATGTTAGTTAATTGTGGTACGGATTCCCGCTTCGTTAGGTAATATGGATGTGCCGCTTAGACCGGGTCCGCTGTCCGAGGAGGACAAAGTTAGGGTCAGCACCCTGACCTCTCAATGCTACACGGAGGGAGTACTGCCAAAGGAACTCGCCCCGAATACTATAGTTACCGGGGACGATTATTTGCACGTAATCATCAACCCCAAATCTATAATATTCAGGCTGAGTGGCTTCGGGAGCAAGCCGTCTCAATTGTCTTCGGCAACAATTCGACATCACTACCCATCGGCGTGAAGAAGAGGCTCGTACCCATATACGAGAATGGCTGGGCTTCGAACAACGAAATTTCTTCTCCTCCTAAGCGAGGCCTTTTTCACAACGAGGGGAAGAATCTGGTCACAGACGTGGCCTCCTCGATCTGGGATGTTGAGAATGCCACACACCCAAATCGAACTAGATAAGAAGAAGTACTCTATCTCTTTCGAACCTTGGATGTGTGAGCAGGAGCTTTGGGAGTGGAGAGAGGCATCCAGACATAAATTCTTCTGGATCAGATGCCTCCAAGTCCCCATA